GAAATGTAATGTGACTAAAAAAACACTTTTGACACAATGAGTAGTGAGGGTCTGGAATGCACTGCCTGAAAGTGTGGTGGAGGCATTTTTAGTTCTGGCATTCAAGAAGGCATTGGTTGATTATTTAAATAGAAACAAAATTCAGGATGATAAGGGAAAGGCAGGAGATTGATGCTAAGTCATAACGCTCATTCAGAAATCTGGTTTAGATATAATTGGCTAAGTGACCTTCTGCACTGCAACAGTTCTGTGACTTCAGGGTCGCCAAACTTGCACCCTTACCCTGCAGATTGTATCCTATTTTCACAGTACTCCAGCCATGTGTTCTGCTCTAGTATGAGTTTACAAGTCCCAGGCACTGTGGGCCCCATATGCTGCTGGTAAAATTTCACTGTCATTGGAAAATACCTGCTGCAGCAATCCCTCACTTACAGTTGCAGTTGTGTTCCTGAAAATTGCGACTTTAAGTGATACAGTTTTAAGTGAATTTTTGATTTGATTTGATACATATTGTCACATGTACCAAGATTCAGTGAAAAATTTTGCACGTTATCCAGACATATCATACCTTGAATAAGTACAGCAGAGTAACAGAACAGAATGCAGAATAAAGTGTAACAGCTACAGGGAAGGTGCGGAGAAAGATCAATTCTAAGAGGTCCGTTCATAAGTTTGATAACAGCAGGGAAGAACTGCTCTTGAATCATAATCTCCCTAAGGAATTGATGTCAAAGCCAGCATTAGGTTCCTGTGGACATTTCCTGTACGAAATAAACAGTATACAAATTGAAATTCTGTGCCATGCATGTTCAGTACTCATTCCTGGTTGAAATAAATTGCAAAATTAAAATGAATCATTGAATATACAGAAACACCAATGTGACTCACTCAAACAGTGCTGCCGATCTGTGGATGATTTGTTGTCACTCTCGCTTGATGGGTTCTGTGATGCTGATATATCTAATCTCTAGATTCTACTAGGTGTGGGCTGGTGTGGCTTGGAAGCTGAGCTTGAAAGTTAGGTGAGTTACTTGGAGTTAATGGGATGTAAAGTCAGCATCACGATCAGTCTTGAAAAGTTTATCCAAGGACAGTTTTATTTTGCTTCTCTCAGTAGATGTTCCAGCGGTAGTTAACGATATCACTGATCCCCCTGTTCACTTAGGCACCGCCCTTTCTTTTCGGGTTCATTCACTGTGAACATTTCCATTGCTTCTTCCTCGAGTTGGCAAGTTTTTACACTTGATTCCTTGACAAAACCTCAAGTGAATGATGTTTCAGCCTAATACTGGCTTTAACGTTGATTCCTTAAGGAGATCATTATCAAGAAAAGCTTCTTCTTCGCTGTTATCAGGCTTATGAATAGACCTCTCATATATTACAGTTGATCTCTTCAGCTTGTTGACTGTCTATCTGCATTAAGTCCTCTTTGGACAATTTACTTCATCCAAGGTAGCCTGCCTCACCATGGTCATGATTTCAAGCTGAACGTCAGGGACAGCATCATACAATTCTTGGCACTTGGGCCACAATTTCCATCACACACTGTTTAAACATGACAATGTGACTACAACCCATGAATTATCAAGACTGTTAATACCCTTGAGGATCATGCAACTATGCCAAATTCCTTGATTGACAGCAAACTCACACGATTTGTTGCCATAATGAGTTGAGAGAAGGTACTCAGGCCTTGAATGATGCTGCTGCTCCCTGGTCCATGAGCTAAATCAGTAAAGTTATGTTGGGTGGCAGGAAAAGCACTTTCACATTTTCAGGTACTCCATCAAGGTGGAAGGAATGACCTCAGCAATGATTCAACTAGAGCAATATTTTGAAGGTGAGATTTTCTCTGCGACAATATGCTCTGCGAGCAGTGATGAAATACAGAGTCAGCTATTCCTGAAAGAGTGCCCCAGCATCCAGGCTATCTAATTTTAGCGCCAATAGGGCAGATACTCCTTGTAGTAACCCTACAACGGTATCTTCGGCTTTAGCACCACCATGGTCAAAACTTTAAATCTTCTGCAGTGTTCCCACCAAGCAGAACAGTCAAGTAACTCCCTTTGGAAGTTTTAAAATCTGCTGCTGACTTGTCCTCTTTTTTTTTCAAAATGTTAATTCTTTGTGGTATACATTTCTAAAAAAGTTCCATCTTGTCAACATTAAAAAACTTATTTTGGTGACTAGCCATCTTCTTTAATGACTCTCTTCAAATGGCCAGGGAATTTATCAGCTTCTTCTGTATCAGTATTAGCTGCTTCACCAAACTCTGTAATTTTGTGCAGGAATACCTCTTGAAGTGGTCAAACCATTCACATCTAGGATTGAAGCTTTCTGACCGACACTTCTCACTGTGCTCATTCTGTATGGCCTCTTACAGGCTTTTGGTTTTCTCTTTGATAACCATCAAACCAACATTCATCTGTCACTAGCTTTGGTGCTGGATCCAGTCAGCTCTCTACTACCACTTGCCGGGTGTTTCTACTTCATGTTCAAAAGAGATCATAGCACTAAATCACAATAATAAGGATTAAGAGACTTAAGAATGGATTCACTACCTCTTGTCTTCTCTCATCAGCTTTAAAACTGCTCTTCTGCCATCCCTGCTAAAGACATGGGAGTCATTGGATAGTATTTTTCACCCAAACAACCTTGAGACAAGGGAAGCAACTTCACTTCACAAGTACGCAGTAGAAGTAGCAACCCACAATCAAAATCAGCTTCAGTGAAGAAAGGTCAACGTATGAATTAATAGCAGGAACAGGCCACAGCCCCTCGAGCCTTCTCTGCCATTCAATAAAATCATGACTGATCTGATTATTCCATTTTCCTGCCTACCCCAGATAACCTCCACCCCTTTACTTATCAATAATCTGTCTACATCTGTTTGAAAAATATTTGAAGACTCTGTTTGCACCACTTTTTAAGGATGAGCATTCCAAAAACTCAAGACCTTCAATGAAAAAAAAATTCTTCATCACCGTCTTAAATGGGTGACCACTTATATTTAAAGAGACCTCCTAATTTCTTGATCTTCTTGTAAATGGAAATACTCACAGAATCTTCCCAGCACATGACTGATGTGGACCAAGGCAAGAAATTTGGGAAAAGCAGGTGAAATGTCTGTGAGGTCCTTCTCGAAGTCCAACCAAGTGTTGGAATGTAAGATGAGATTCGTGCTAGTGAATAGCAAGATATCTATTAGCATGAATCCTCACTCATTATCACCCTCATTATTACTTAATCTGGCCTCATTAATCTCATGTTACAGAAACAAGAGGCTGAGAAATCTGTGACATGAAAGTCAGAGATTTCCAGAGAAGCAAGCGGCAAGCTGGAGTTGCCAGGTAACCAAAACAAAAACCGAAAGAACTGCGGATGCTGTAAATCCGAAACAAAAACAGAATTTGCTGGAAAAGCTCAGCAGGGTGTGGCAGCATCAGTGAAGAAAATGTCAGAGTTAACATTTCGGGCCCAGTGACCCTTCCTCAGGACAGTCAAGAAAAAGATAGCTTTATGTTTAGATTTTAAAAGTATCAAGGCATATTAGGAGAAAGTGGGAATATGATATTGTGATAGAGGATGAGCCATGATCCTAACGAATGGTGAAGCGGGCTCGTAGGCCAAATGGCCTACTCCTGGTCCGAGTTTCTATGTTTCCATGCCTCACTACAGTAGATACAGCCACCTTCTTCACAGAAGAGGCCCACATGTGTGTTATTTAGCCCCACATCCTGTTCTGTCTTTCAATGATTGTGGCTGATCCGCAACCTATTCCACATAACTATTTTTGCCCCGTGCCCTTCAACACCATTGGCTAATAAAAACTTATCAAATGTTAGTTTAAGATTAAAACTTGATTGAGCATAAATTACTGTTTGGAAAAGAGAGGTTCAAATCTCTATCACAGTATGTACTGGAGATGGATTTCCGATGTAGGGTCAGAAAAACTGATGCCCAGATCTTTTCCAGGTCCAGACACTATGCTATGTGATGCAGCACAAGTTTCACACACAATGGGCCTATATGGCCAGGGCACAAATTTGGTGCCTAATTAGCAGTGTGTCATACCTCACTGGATAATGCGCTGGTCAAATCTCACTTTGTGTACAGCCCCTGTTGCCACTCATCTGCAACTAATATTCTCACACTAGTTGAGCAAGCAGAAGTGTAAACCCCACTTACGATAAGTTGGTAACTCACTTTTCAAAAGCGCTATAATCCCTTCCACAATCCTTGGTTTTCAAAATAATCCTTTCCCTATTTCAGTCCACAATCAAAAACAGTGAAAAAAATGGTCTTTAGAAGTGCTGGGAGCAGCCCAGAGATGTGACTCAGAAAATGGTAAACTCAGCCCTGAATGAGCTCGCAATTCCCTGATGAGCTGAAGCAGCAGGGAGCTCAAAAGGCCAATGCCTGGTACGGGCAGGCTATTATGGGTGGCATTAAAGTTACCCAGTGCCCTCTGTCGAGACAGAGGCTTTAACAGCAAGTGGCAGACAGGTGAGACATATTCTGTCCAAAGAAAACCTGGCTGAAAAAAGATGACAATGGAGGTCAGCAGCAAGAGCATTGATGAGAAAAAATTTAAGCAAGAAAGAGAAAGTCATTCAGTTCATCAAGCTTCATCTGATATTCAATATGAGTATGGCTAATCTGGCTACAATCCATCTTCCATAGCTCTCTGGAGAACAGAATTCACAGGACTGATGGTCCTCTGAAAGAAGATGTGAGTCCCTTTATTTTTCAACTGATTTCCTCCTGTTCTAGATTTCCCCATGAGTGGGATCATCATCTCTGTATCTAGCCTGTCAAGGCTTAACATACTGAATGTCTTCATCTAGCTTAGTATTCTTGAAAGCTTCATGGATTAAACTGTGCACCATCTCACCTCCAGCGCCCCACAACATGAACAAAAGCCCATCCAATTGCTTTGGTGTTATATATCAACCAATATTCTTTCTTTCATGTATTGTTTGGTGACATTGATCTGTTACCTGTTCAGATGAGCCCAGTTGTTCAATTTCTGCTGTGTTGAATTTGCTGGTGTGTAGTTGTGCATCTCAACCAGTTTGGGGAAATGAAACTTCACCACTTCAGCAATTAAAACTGCAATCAAAGCATTGAGAATTTCAGAATGCATAGACTAAAACTACCACGAACGTAACACTGAACTCTGATATCAGTCATAAAACCTGCTCCTTCTGCTAAATTTATTATATGAAAGAACATACAGGGGACTTTTCATTTCATTTTTGTCTCCTATTCTCCTGAAGATACTTAGTACTTGTTGGGCTACAGGTTCACGATTGCACGCAACCCTCAACAAATTAATTACTTCTCATTGGCAAGTTTAAGATGTGAGTCACTGGCAGACTGTTGAAACTATTACAATGCTGAATTGTAGGCCTCCCTCAGGTCACACTCATCAGTCAGACACTTTCTAACTGTTAAATTTCCATTAATTCGAATGCCACCCATTCTGGCATAAAAATATAAATCTGAGAGAATATAATGCTGTATCAAGCCATCTTCCGTCTCTGGAAAGTACACATATAAGGAAAGATGAATCATATGGTAGAGAAGCACTAGACAAACGGAAAGCAGATGACAGAAATAATTTATCCATCAATATTATGGAATATCAAGTCTCCATTGGAAACAGTCAGAAGCACAGCCTACAAAAATTCTTAACAATGGGGGCGACACGGTCATTCAGGGCTTAGTTAGTACTGCTGCCTCACAGTTCCAGGAAGCCGGATTCAATTCCAGCCTCGGATGACTGCGTGGGGTTTGCGCGTTATCCCTGTGTCTGCGTGGGTTTCCTCCGGATGCTCCGGTTTCCTCCCACAGTCCAAAGATGTGCAGTTTAGATGGATTGGCCATGCTAAATAGCCCACAGTGTCCAGTGACATGCAGGCTTGGTGGATTAGCCACAGGAAATGCAGGATTACAGGGACAGGGTAGAGGGGGTGGGTCTGGGTGGGCTATTCTTGGGAGGATCGATGCAGATTCAATGGGCCGAATGGCCTGTTATTGCACTGTAGGAATTCTATGAAAAGGGTAATGCATTGGAGCAAGCCTAGATTGAGTCCTTAGATACAATTACTCAACTCATTTCAGTGGTGTTAGTGCCCTGGAAAGAGGAGATTAAAGAGACAAAGGGCTTTCTTCATTAAAATTCACCAACAACTTACACACCACATCAATAGAGTTTGTATTGAGTCATTTACGAGGATGTTGCCAGGACTAGTTGCAAATACATGAGCACGTATATATAGAGATAGTAGGAACTGCCGACGCTGGAGAATCTGAGATAACAAGGTGTAGAGCTGGATGAACACAGCAGGCCAAGCAGCATCAGAGGAGCAGGAAAACTGATGTTTCGGGTCTGAACCCTTCTTCAGAAATGGGGGAGGGGAAGGGGATTCTGAAATAAATAGAGAGAGAGGGGGAGGCGGATGGAAGATGGATCAAGGAGCAGATATGTGGAGAGGAGACAGACAGGTCAAGGAGGCGGGGATGGAGCGAGTAAAGGTGAGTGTAGGTGGGGAGTTAGGGTGGGGATTGGTCAGTCCAGGGAAGACGGACAGGTCAAGGAGGTGGGAATGAGGCTGGTAGGTAGGAGGTGGGGGTGGGGGTTGAAGTGGGAGGAGGGGATAGGTGGGAGAAAGGATGGACAGGTCAGGGAGGTGGGGACGAGCTGGGCTGGTTTTGGGATGCAGTCGGGGGTGGGGAGATTTTGAAGCTTGTGAAGTCCACATCGACACCATTAGGCCACAGAGTTCCCAAGCGAAATATGAGGTGCTGTTCCTGCAACGTTCGCGTGGCATCGTTGTGGCACTGGAGGAGGCCCAGGATGGACATGTCGTCCAAGGAGTGGGAGGGGGAGTTGAGGTGGTTTGCAACAGGGAGGTGCAGTCGTTTGTCGCGAACCGAGGGTAGGTGTTCCGCAAAGCGGTCTCCAAGCCTCCGCTTGGTTTCCCCGATGTAGAGGAGGCCACATCAGGAACAGCGGATACAGTATACCACATTAGCAGATGTGCAGGTGAACATCTGTTTGATGTGGAAGGTTTTCTTGGGGCCTAGGATGGGGGTGAGGGGGGAGGTATGGGGGCAGGTGTAGCACTTCCTACGATTGCAGGGAATAGTGCCGAGGGTGGTGGGGCTGGTGGGGAGTGTGGAGCGGACAAGGGAGTCATGGAGAGAGTGGTCCCTCCGGAAGGCAGATAAGGGTGGGGAGGGAAAAATGTCTTTGGTGGTGGGGTCAGATTGCAGGTGGCAGAAGTGCCGGAGGATGATGCGTTGGATCCGGAGGTTGGTGGGGTGGTACGTGAGGACAAGGGATTTCTGTTTTTGTTGTTATTGCGGGGAGGGGGTGTGAGGGATGAGTTGCGGGAAATGCGAGAGACGCGGTCAAGGGCATTTTCAACCACTGTGGAGGGGAAGTTGTGGCCCTTGAAAAACGAGGACATCTGGGATGTCCGGGAGTGGAATGCCTCATCCTGGGAGCAGATGCGGCAGAGGGGAAGGAATTGGGAATAGGAGATGGCTTTGCAGGAAGGTGGGTGAGAGGAGGTGTATTCTAGGTAGCTGTGGGAGTCGGTAGGCTTGAAATGGATATCGGTTTCCAGGTGGTTGCCAGAGATGGAAACAGAGAGGTCCAGGAAGGAGAGAGAGGTATCAGAGATGATCCAGGTGAACTTAAGTTTAGGGTGGAAGGTGTTGGTGAAGTGGATCAACTGTTCGAGCTCCTCGTGGGAGCACGAGGCGGCGCTGATACAGTCATTGATATAACAGAGGAAGAGGTGGGGGATAGGACCAGTGTAGCTTCAGAAGAGGGACTGTTCCACGTATCCTACAAAGAGGCAGGCATAGCTTGGGCCCATGCGGGCACCCATGGCCACCCCCTTTGTCTGTAAGAAGTGGGAGGAATTGAAGGAGAAGTTGTTAAGGGTGAGGACGAGTTCAGCTAAGCGGACAAGGGTGTCAGTGGCGGGGGACTGGTCGGGCCTGCGGGACAGGAAGAAGTGGAGGGCCTTTAGGCCATCTGCATGGGGAATGCAAGTATATAGGGACTGGACATCCATGGTGAAGATGAGGTGTTGGGGATCAGGGAATCGGAAGTTTTGAAGGATGTGGAGGGCGTGGGTGGTGTCACGGACGTAGATGGGGAGTTCCTGGACCGGGGGGAGAAAATGGAGTCGAGATAAGTGGAGATAAGTTAGGTAGGACAGGAGCAGGCGGAGACAATGGATTGACCAGGGCAGTCAGGTTTGTTTTCTTCAGGTGGCGGAAACGCAGGAGGATGATGCGTTGGATCTGGAGGTTGGTGGGGTGGTACGTAAATATATATATAGCACATATATATAGATGTGTTTATGTATCCCTGGTCACTATGAGCAATTTAGTGTGGCCAATCAACCTAATCTGCACACTGCTGAATTGTGGAAGGAAACCGAAGCACCAGGAGGAAACACATGCAAACAGCGGGGAGAATGTGCAAACTCCACACAGACAGTCATCCAATTAAATCTGGGTCCCTGGCGCCCTGAGGCAGCAGTGCTAACCACTGAGCCACTGTGCCACATCCTTACTTTCAGGCTTCCTACAAGCTGCAATATTTTCCTTTTGTGTCAGCTTGTGTATTTTTCTCTCCATATTTAAATATTTTTGTCTTTTTACGTGTATTTATACAAGGTGTCAGCATTTTGTGCCTGTATGAGCATGTGCAAAATATATATTTTTGTCTAAAAACCCATGTTTAGCATGTGGCTACATCTGCATCTGTGTATTAAGCATATGTCTGTATGCATGTGTTTAAATTTTTGTGCTAAATATGTGTGTTGAGAATATATCTCTGCCTGTATCGGATGTGTTTAGCAGATGCCTGTGCTCTATATCTGCTTGTACATATGTGTGTTAAGCAAATGCCTGTGCTTGTATATGTGTGTGTTAAGAGTGTCTCTCTGCCTGTACCAGTTAAGCAGAAGTGTGTTGAAAAATGTGTGTTATGCATATATCTCTGCCTGCACATGTGCCTTAAGCAAAAGTCTGTGCTTTACATAAAAAAAACAAAGAATTGCGGATGCTGGAAATCGGAAACAAAAAGAATAAGTGCTGGGGAATTTAAAAAAATCAACAGATTGGGCAGCATCTGTGGAGAGAATTCAGAATTAAAACATTTTAGGTCCGGTGGCCACTCCTCAGAACTGTGCTTTATGTGTGGGTTAGATATGTGAATGGACCTGAATGGCTTCTAGATGGACCTCTCAAATTTTACATTTAATGTTGATCTCACTGTTCTCTGCAACCTTAACACTGTATTCCTTGCTTTGTTCTATTTTCCTTATGCACTTTGTATGGTATGATCTGCATGTACTGCACGCAAAACAAAACTTTTCACTGTACACTTGGTACATGTGACAGTAATAAATCAAATTAAATCCTACCTCACTCAGAGGCAAGAATGCCACTAACTGAACCATATTTTGTCAACAAATATTGTTGTTTGTTGACTATCATGATTTCCAGGATAATAGATGACGAAATGAGGAAACTATGATTTTCTTTGCTTGGTTCAGCAATTCCTATGTCCTTATTCTTCAGTACACTGTTCCACTAAAACAACTGACAAAATACTAAAGTCCAGCAATATAAAGTTAAATCACCCATTAATTAACCATGAATGTGATCATGTTATTACATTTAAATTATATAAAGTCTACTGCTTACTATTTGAATCAGAACATCCCAAAGTTGGAATCAGGACCTCAAATGGATTGCAAGTTAAAATCTTGTAGTCACAAGATCTAAGGAAGCAATGACGACGATGGAGCTTTGATGGAGCTATAATCACTGTGTTGTGCACTAACAGGCAATTTGCCACATTCACAGATACCCCACAGTCTCGCAGGTCCACCCCGCCTCAACTTCTCATTTAGAGGTTGTGACAGTTTTCAGGACTCGCAGGAGGTTACAGTGGGGAAAAATGTTTGGGAGACGCAGCTAAATGATGAGAGAGTTTAGAACTTTGAGCTGCCAAGGGATCTGGGTGACCTAGCATATGAATCACAAAATATTAATATACAGAAACAGCAAGTAATTAGGAAAGCAAATAGAAAATCGTTTATTGCAAGGAGAATTGAATACAAAAGTAGGGACGTTATACTTAAGCTAAACGGACCACTGGTGAGACCACATCTAGAGTACTGTGCACTGTATTGCTTGGCTTATTAAGGAAGGATGTGAAGGTGTTGGAAGCAGTCTAGAGAAAGTTTAACAGTCTAATACCTGGAATAACTGGAATGTCTTATAAGAAAATGTTGGATAGGCTAGGCTTGTACTGGCTGGAGTTTAGAAGAAAAAGAAGCAATTCGAATTAAACATCCAAGAGATCCTGGACAACTTGACATACTAGAGCCATAGAACATATTCTCTCTTGTGGGAGAATCTGGAACTGCTCAAAGAGAAAGGGTCACCCATTGAAGACAGATGAGACTGTTGTCACAGAGGATTGTGTGTCTTTAGAACTCTCTTCCTCAAAAAGACAGTAGAAGCAGGTTCAATTAATATTTTTAGGGCAAAGGTAGACAGATTCTTGATGACAAAGAGGTGAAAGAGTATCAGGGTAAGCAGGGCGTGAAGTAATCACATCAGCCATGATCCTACTGAGTGACGGAGTGGCCTACTCCTGTTCCTAATTCATATGTTCATAAGACTGGAAGATTTGCCTACTTATTGCTGGAGGGGGAAGTCTCCTGGAAATCTCTCACAGTGAAAAATAGTTCTGGAGTTTAAAAGCTTCCCAAGTTCTAAAACAGACTGGAAACAAAATTTCAGGAGCTAAAAATGATCTTTTTTTTTGACTGATTCCGGGAGAAGTTATTAGGAGGGGCAGGATAAGCTGGGACTTTCCCCTGGAGCATAGGAGGTTGAGGGGTGTCCTTATAGAGGTTTATAAATCATGGGCATAGATGAGGTGAATGCCAAATGTCTTTTCCCTCGGGTGGGTGATTTCAAGACGAGCGTGCATACTTTTAAGGTCAGAGGAGACAGATTTAAAAAGGACATGAGGGGCAACTTTTTTATACCGAGAGTAGTTCATGTGAAGAATGAACTTCCAGAGGAAGTGGTGGATGGGGATACAGTGACAATGTTCCAAGGACATTTGGATAAGTACATGAAATGTTTGGAGGGATATGGACCAGGTGCAAGCAGGTGTGACTAGTTTAGTTTGGGATTATGTTTGGCATGGATGGTTGGACCGAAGGATCTGTTTCCATGCTGTGTGACCCTAGGAGAAATGTGCACCTGTGTAAATCGTGGGTGTCAGGATTTGTACATGAGTGTGTGTGTTTGTGAGTGAAGCACAGAGAGTAGCATTTTATTTTAGGCTTCCGGCACCTACGTTTCTGTTTTCTTTTGACAGGTCAAAACAGGACACAAAAACCCTCCCAACCCAGTAATGCTCTCCTACAACCTCTTCCGTCAGGCAGAAGATATAGAAGCTTGAACACGCGCGCCAAAAGGTTCAAGAACAGCTACTTCTCTGCTGTTATTGGACTGCTGAATGGACTCTCTGGCTTCAAATAATGCTGACCTTGCTTTGTGCACCTCTTGGGCAGCCGTAACCTTGTATTCCTCACTCTGTCTGGGCACCCCATGATGTGTGTGTCCTTGCTATGCCATGATCTGCCTGTACTGCTCGCAAAACACAGCTTTTCACTGTACTCTTGTGACTACAATAAATCAAATCAAATCAAATCTAAATTTTAAAACAGACCACACGCGGATGTGGTGTGAGCAGATGAGTGTGAAGTGGGTGATGTTGATAAAAGTTGGGAATCTCTCTCTCAGCCTCAATTCACCTCCATCACTGAAGTCCCTGGCAACGTTGCGCTTGGCCCTGGACAGATGGAAGGTGTCCACCCAGGAGTATAGATCCTGCAGGCTCTCCTCGTCCATCCGGGCCGCCATCGCCGGCTCCAAACTATTCACAAAACGCTCTTCTGCAGCTGCTGCTCCTTTTCTGTGAAACAAACAATGAAATGACTTTACACAAACCACGGGAAGGCGCCGGGGGGAGAGCAGCTCGCCCTTGTTCACCTGCGGGGGGACGCCATGTTGTCTCCCGTTGCCATGGAAATCGGCCGCCGCCGGCGAGCGGAATGCTGGTCGTTGTAGTTCACGTCCCCCGAGCCCTCCCCCCTCGCGAGACTGGAGCGACCGGTCGCAGGGAACTACAACCCCCGAGAGGCATTGCGACACCCATGCGGGCGATGCGGGAGGCCATTCCGCCCATCCCACCTGGGTTGGCTGCTGGAAGCTGTTCCAGTACCTGACTGAAATAAACCCACAAAAGAGGCACTGGATATGTCACTAGACAGAGGAATTTCAAAAAACAGTGGACTGGACAGAGTAGACATGGGAGAAAAAGAGTGAAAAGATTAAAAATCTGAAACTGACAGAACTAGAAATTGCCAGGGGAACTCAGTCTGGCATCTGAAGAAGGGCTTTCTTTCCACACATGCTGACAGATTCGCTAAGTTTCTACAGCAACTTCTGTTTTTGTTTCTGTCAAACGAGAGGATTTTGGTGATTAGCAAAGGAAGCAAGGGTGATATGATTTCCTCATTATCATGCAGCAAGTGGTTAGGAGACTGGAATGCACTGCCTGAGTGTGTATTTACTTTTATTCATTCACAGATGAGCGTGATACTGGCTAGGCCATCATTTGTTGCCCATCCCTAATTACCCACGGGGAAGTTAAGAGTCAACCACAATGATGTGGGTCTGGAGTCACATGTAGGCCAGACCAGGTAAGGATGGCACTTTCCTCCCCTAAAGGACATTAGTGAACCAGATGATTTTCCCAACAATCAACAACAGTTTCATGGTCATCAATAGACTCCTAATTCAAGATTTTCATTGAATTCAAATTTGTGGGATTTGAACACAGGTCTCCAGTTTAATAGTCCAGCAATACAATCACTAGGTCACTGCCTCCCTATAAAACATGAAGCGAGTTTCAATTGAAGATGGAAGAACGAAGAAGAAATTGAATTATTATCTAAGAAAGGAGCTCCGCAGGGAGAAGTCAATGAAATTGTATGACATGCATCACTCCTTCTGAGAGCCAGAACAGACACAATGGACCAAATAGAGATAGTAGGAACTGCAGATGCTGGAGAATCTGAAACAACAAGGTGCAGAGCTGGATGAACACAGCAGGCCAAGCAGCATC